AATTTTACTATATTTTAAAATAAAAAAAATAAAAATATTTTATGCCAGTGATGTTATAAAAATTTTGCTGTTACCGTACATGAAAAATCTGGCAAGGTATTGGTGATAAACCTGTCGTGTTCAGACTTTTTAAACAAGAATTTGAAATATTGAAAAAATCAAATATATGCTGCAATCAAATTTAGACAAAACGTTATAACTTCTAAAATAAACGGATAGGTCTAAATAAAAATTCCATGTGGCAACTGCATGTTACGCCCACAACATACACCAATTACTTTAAATTCAATTTTCTTATTCATAAACGTCTGTTTAATACATTTATAGTTGTGTTAGTTTACAGTTTAATATTTACCAATATAAAGTCTTAATGAATAACATGAATATTATGTTCCAATGCGTTTCAACCTACATTTCAAGCGTAGGTTGGACATGTATATGAGTGGGATTGGGTGATTATAAATAGGAGCTGCCACGTATGCGCCAATAGGCCTTCTGCAGTTACTTTTATTCTTATGTTCTAATATCTCCTGATGATACAATTTAAAGGACTAATATATGCTCACTCATTCAATGAATTTATGCAACAAATTTTCACATTCTCAGCACACTCAATCAACTGATTCTAGGGCTCGCCCGGATGAGAATCACTCGTAATACACAGTTCATGCAACATAGATCTGACTCCTACAGGACTCTAAATGCCTGTCAGTTATCCATCTCTCTTAACAGTAGTTCCTTGAATATTCAAATTATCCAGCTGAAGGTCTCCTTGTTCTGTTTGCTGGCTAGTTGCTTTATTCTATCTTGTATACCTGCCGCACCATATATATATATATATATATATATATATATATATATATATATATATATATATATATATATATATATATATATATATATATATATATATATCACTTATTCTTAAGTTGTATTTCCTGACAATTAAGTTCATATTTATGGAAATGTTGGAGTGGGCTGTGACAGTGAGTGCCTAAACAAGAATGTATTGAGTTTGTTGGAGGGTGATTCCCTTCATACAAAAGAATATCATTCGTTTGTGAACAATTTCTTCAAGTGTGGGTGTGGATATCAAGCCTGATATGAGATTGCGAGGATGGACACCCAAGATTCGTCTTCAACATGTCTTCCGTTCACATTTAAGCCTACCAAGATAAGTATTTTGAATGTTTCATAGTTCATATCTATACAGGTTTAGACAATCACTGTTAAATAACTTTTACTTTCGACCAGATATCAAGATTACCGAATTCACTCATTTTTTTCTAATGTTTAGGTCTCTGATAAATAAAAAATTGACAAGTGGGTCCTATAGGAAATTATATGCCCCAGATGCTTTTCTGAATACTTTATAAGAATATATCCCAAGTTATTTTAATTTAGAATCAATATAAAATTAATCCTGCCAGTAAAAGGAAACTACAGCACGTTTGGCTGGATTGAAAGTAACGCTGTATTCTGCACTATATCTTTCTCATAGTCCTATCAAGGTTTCCATAGCATCTTTGGTCGGTGCAAGTAGAACTTTTGTTTTTTCTTTATTAAGTAATATACAATATAAAGATCATACTTACATCAATTTTCAAGGGAAAATACTACATTTATATATTTTATATAATTCTCAGTAAACCAATATTCCATACCATCACCGAGCATGAACCGTTAACCCCAAATGTTATACTGTACTTGATCCTGCCTCACAAGAACTTCAATATTCTGTCTACTGAGTAATTCTCCTGCCTGCCTATCCACACAAAAAATATAATCAGAAAGTAGCATAATTATTGTATTTTTAATTTTCTTGCATTTTATGTCAATTTGAAACATTAAAAACCTCATTAAATCCACTCTAATGCTTGGTCCACAGAAAGCTTTAAGAGAGTCTGTAATCCAGTTTACAAGAACAAGTTTCTGCTCACAGAAAGAAAATATATGCATATTATTCTCAATTTCAGTACATTGGTCACCCCTATCGTTGTCCTTAATGCCCAACAACAACCTATCATTTGTAGGGAGGGTCTCATGAATATTGCGATACAATAGTTCACGTTGTTTTCGGGCAATAAATTTAACAAGAAGGTTTGCCCATATTACTCGCCAGTTAAAGAGTGAATATGCCTCCTATACTCTAGTAACTACTCTAGTCACATTTGTTTACTGTTCATAAATCAGCAGCATAACCGAAAACGTTGGCTATAGTACTGCCAATGTAAATATTCAGAAATGACCTTACACCAACAACACCACTTACACCCACATACTAATTACACCGAAAACAAACAAACTAAACCCACAACCATCGAGTTACTTTCATTCTTTGAGTTGTTAATTGTCATATAGCTGGCGAGCAGTAATATATACAGTATAAAGCCCCTGGTTGGAACGGAGAGAACCAATTCCACGCCATAAAGGTAGCTTGGGGAAACTTGCCTCATCACCCGTCACTTATGGCGACGGGGAAAATTATCCGGAGAAATCTTACATTGTTGGTGAACTTTCTCAGTAATTTAGTAGTTTACATTTACCTCGTGTAAGTCATCGCAATCGAAAACGCCACATCCACATTGATAAATATTATTAACGTGTAAGCTCAGAACACTTGCACAAAAGTGTGTATCCGTGGAATTATTCTATTGTATTTATAACTTGTAAACAGTAATCACCGTAAGTATAACGAAGACCCAACTAAAATTTACATCAAAATAATAATTACTTCAAAGTTGCTACTTTGGAAAAACAGTGCACCTGGCTGGCTGCGGGCGCAAACCGTTTGTTCACTTAATACATCATATCTATTAAAGATTCGGCCAATCCGTTAACAAAGCAACGTACTGGTAAAACCTAAAAGCGCCGTAATATTGACAGTTCCAATGCAACAGTTTCTTAAGTGGGTTGCTTGGGATCTTACGTTTTTGATTAGGCTAACAGTTGCATTTTTACGGAGTGGCAAAGTCAAAAGAATGATGTGGCAGGCTTGAGAGATGAGTTCATATGTTCAGTGTTAGCTAAGATAACTATGTAATCTGCATCATAAATTGTGGAAATGTCCGGAAATAAATTGTCACTTGCTATACAGATGACAAATTATTATCATAGTTTAACAAAATAACGAATATAATGATTTTTGGATCAAAATAACGGTTAATATGAGGATTTAAGGATCACACGGTTATAATGATTTAAGGCTCAAGGGAAGGGACTATCAAGGGAAAGCGCCAAGCCATCACGACTATATAGCACTTGGAAGGGGTCAGGATAAGGATTTGGGATGGGACATGGAGGAAATTGAAATAAGTTTATTAAGGTAAAATACATACAAAGGGATGAGGTAGCTCAAGCTATTCTCACCCCGTTCAGTACATCGTGTTAATACATACATAGACACACATCACAAACAAACATATTACCAAACATTCTGAGAGATAAACATATACATTTCCTCCTTTACACAAGTAGTATGGTATCAGACGTACACACAAATACTTTTATGACCTAGGTATACTGTATAGACAATTTGCAAGACATGCAGATAATTCAACAAAAGATTACAGTCTTGGTGCAAAATTCTTATCTCTCTCAAGAATATCATCAACCTTTCCGTTGTGACACATCCAGGCTATTTGTTCAAGGGCATGGAGGAAGGAATGGTGCGCAACCACTGGACGGTCGGGGATTGAACGCTGACTTGGATGAAGCGAGACCGACGCTCTACCGTCCAGCCCAAGTGGTTGATCAAACTGATATAATAATTTAAGGATCAAACTGATATAATAATTTAAGGATCAAACTGATATAATGATTTAAGGATCAAACTGATATAACGATTTAAGGATCAAACTGATATAATGATTTAAGAATTAAAATAAAGGATATGATGATTTAGGGGTCAAAATAATGAATAATATGATATTTAAGGGTCAAAATAATGAATAATATGATATTTAAGGGTCAAAATAATGAATAATATGATATTTAAGGGTCAAAATAATGAATAATGATATTTAAGGGTCAAAATAATGAATAATGATATTTAAGGGTCAAAATAATGAATAATGATATTTAAGGGTCAAAATAACTGATACGATTGTTTCAGGGTCAAAATAACTGATACGATTATTTAAGGGTCAAAGTAACTGATATTTAAGGGTCAAAGTAACTGATATTTAAGGGTCAAAGTAACTGATATTTAAGGGTCAAAGTAACTGATATTTAAGGGTCAAAGTAACTGATATTTAAGAGTCAAAGTAACTGATATTTAAGAGTCAAAGTAACTGATATTTAAGAGTCAAAGTAACTGATATTTAAGGGTCAAAGTAACTGATATTTAAGGGTCAAAGTAACTGATATTTAAGGGTCAAAGTAACTGATATTTAAGGGTCAAAGTAACTGATATTTACGGGTCAAAGTAACTGATATTTAAGGGTCAAAGTAACTGATATTTAAGGGTCAAAGTAACTGATATTTAAGGGTCAAAGTAACTGATATTTAAGGGTCAAAATAACTGATATTTAAGGGTCAAAGTAACTGATATTTAAGGGTCAAAGTAACTGATATTTAAGGATCAAAGTAACTGATATTTAAGGGTCAAAGTAACTGATACGATTATTTAAGGGTCAAAATAACTGATACGATTATTTAAGGATCAAAATAACTGATACGATTATTTAAGGATCAAAATAACTGATACGATTATTTAAGGGTTAAAATAACTGGTACGATTATTTAAGGGTAAAAATAACTGATACGATTATTTAAGGGTCAAAATAACTGATACGATTATTTAAGGGTCAAAATAACTGATACGATTATTTAATGTTCAAAACATGACGATTTTGGCGATTTAAGAACAAGCCGAATTATTTAATGAACGTAACGCATAATATGATGATTAAAGGGGCTAAACAGTCCAACATTTAGGGGTAACTGGTATATCCCACCTGTCCACAGTACTGCCATAATAAGGTACTTAGATGACTCACCTTACCAGAGTCGCCGAGAACCCAGCCACAGCGGTGACAACCTTCCTCCAGGATCCCGTACTACTGTCACACGACATACGTCTTAAAACAACGTCCACTAGTTAACAGGTTCCTCAGGACGCCACATTTGTCAAGTTTCCACTTACGAAAATTTCAAACTTATGTCACCAGTAGTTTAAATCACTCACAAATTAAACACCACTAAGTCACGCTCACAAGTAATAGACTGCATACAGGGCGTCAGGGTGGGTGTCCGAGGGAACCCCCAGGTCCCTTGATATTCGTCCAAAACTTCCCCTATCTCTCGACTCCATTTTCGCCTGTGACTTTGGCCGACCCACAATGCCCCCCTCTGGAACCCCTGGTGCTGGTGTACGATAACTACGCCACAACACACTTCACGGTCATCTATAAATTTTAATGACTACAATCATAATATTGGTAATAATAATACTAACAATTAAAAATAAAACCAAATATATAAATATAATAATAATACCGTAAATATTACTAATTAGTTCGTGTAACTAGTTCAACACCATGATCGGTATGAAGTCGTGCAAATCGTCATACGAAAAGAAGATATTGTTACACTTTCCTTGATTGTGAAATCAACAAATCTAAAAAACGTAAATAAACAGGTTTTTTTGTTTTCTTTATTAAATAATATACAATATAAGGATCTTATTTACATAAATTAACAGGTTTTCAAGAAATGATAATGGCAACAATAATAACAATTACAAATAAAAACAACCTAGTCTCGAACCGTTATTCCCCGACCAGTTTCAAATCATCACCAATAAATAAAATATTGTTGTGCTGTAGATAATAGCGAAAATCGCCACATTCAAAGAAAATAGTAAATACAAACTCAGACGTGTGTTAAAGAAATAATTTACGAAAATATGGACATGAAAGCACAATATTTGTTCAGTTTTCAGAATACATGAAAATACTGAATAAAATTAATTTCGTGTTTGCAAGTCTTCTTTAACGTAAGCTATTACGCTGGTAAATAAAATGCAACAGAGTTTGAATAGGATTATATATAAAAGCAACACAATTAAGCGATGTTATCATGTAAAGGAGTAAAATGAAACAGGTTGAAAAGACAGATTCACTTGAACCAGCTTCTTTTAACTGACGCGCCAGGCCAAATATAATTTTAAAATGAACTGTGGAGTTAATTTTTCAACTTTTCCCAAGTGTCTTCAACCCATCCTCCTGTTTAGATGGTACCTATTGTGACGATCGTCAATAGTCACGAACTCGTACGTATTTAACTTTTAGATAGTAGTATACTGACTCGTAAGGACTTCTTTTATAAAAAATGAAGCTAAAAAACAAACTTAGGTATTCCTAGGCCTAGAATAGCACACCTATGTACTTTATTATGCCTTAGACATCGTGTATTAAGCATATGAAGGTTAGGTAGGTATATCATGTGTGTTGCTCTGAGTGTAGAATCCGATTAAGTTTCTAATAGTTCTATCTGCAGGCTTTCTTGTGCTTTTACTATTTGTTTTTGCAACACAAGTAAAAAATAGTTTTCCGGTTTGTCCAACTCAACAGTGCCAATTTCTACTTTATAATTTCGTTGTACGTCGGTATATACTATGGTCCTCATCGTTACTATAAGTACTACTAAAACCGGAGGATGGCTGCATATCCGAGCTAGAATAATTTATCTAACCATTTCAGTCTTATTCAGTAACATTATATATATATATATATATATATATATATATATATATATATATATATATATATATATATATATATATATATATATATTGCGAACAAGCCTGAATGGTCCCCAGGACATATGCAACTGAAAACTCACACCCCAGAAGTGACTCGAACCCATACTCCCAGAAGCAACGCAACTGGTTGTCTTGTACATACCGTCTTGGAAGGCGTCTTGTACATACCAGTTGCGTTGCTTCTGGGAGTATGGGTTCGAGTCACTTCTGGGGTGTGAGTTTTCAGTTATATATATATATATATATATATATATATATATATATATATATATATATATATATATATATATATATATATATATATATATGTCGTACCTAGTAGCCAGAACGCACTTCTCAGCCTACTATGCAAGGCCCGATTTGCCTAATAAGCCAAGTTTTCATGAATTATTGTTTTTCGACTACCTACTACCTACCTAACCTAACCTAACCTAACTTTTTCGGCTACCTAACCAAACCTAACCTATAAAGATAGGTTATGTTAGGTTAGGTAGGGTTGGTTAGGTTCGGTCATATATCTACGTAATTTTAACTCCAATAAAAAAAAATTGACCTCATTCATAATGAAATGGGTAGCTTTATCATTTCATAAGAAAAAAATTAGAAAAAATATAATAAATCAGGAAAACTTGGCTTATTAGGCAAATCGGGCCTTGAATAGTAGGCCGAGAAGTGCGTTCTGGCTACTAGGTACGACATATATATATATATATATATATATATATATATATATATATATATATATATGTCGTACCTAGTAGCCAGAACGCACTTCTCAGCCTACTATGCAAGGCCCAATTTGCCTAATAAGCCAAGTTTTCATGAATTAATGTTTTTTCGACTACCTAACCTACCTAACCTAACCTAACCTAACTTTTTCAGGTACCTAACCGAACCTAACCTATGAAGATAGGTTAGGTTAGGTTAGGTAGGGTTGGTTAGGTTCGGTCATATATCTACGTTAATTTTAGCTTCAATACAAAAAAATTGACCTCATACATAATGAAATGGGTAGCTTTATCATTTCATAAGAAAAAATTTTGAGAAAATATATTAATTCAGGAAAACTTGGCTTATTAGGCAAATCGGGCCTTGCATAGTAGGCTGAGAAGTGCTTTCTGGCTACTAGGTACGACATATATATATATATATATATATATATATATATATATGTCGTACCTAATAGCCAGAACGCACTTCTCAGCCTACTATTCAAGGCCCGATTTGCCTAATAAGCCAAGTTTTCATGAATTAATGTTTTTTCGTCTACCTAACCTACCTAACCTAACCTAACCTAGCTTTTTTTGGCTACCTAACCTAACCTTACCTATAAATATAGGTTAGGTTAGGTTAGGTAGGGTTGGTTAGGTTCGGTCATATATCTACGTTAATTTTAACTCCAATAAAAAAAAATTGACCTCATACATAGAGAAAAGGGTTGCTTTATCATTTCATAAGAAAAAAATTATAGTAAATATATTAATTCAGGAAAACTTGGCTTATTAGGCAAATCGGGCCTTGAATAGTTGGCTGAGAAGTGAGTTCTGGCTACTAGGTACGACATATATATATATATATATATATATATATATATATATATATATATATATATATATATATATATATATATATATATATATATATATATATATATATATATATATATACATATATATATATATATATATATATATATATATATATATATATATATATATATATGTCGTACCTAGTAGCCAAAACGTACTTCTCAGCCTACTATGCAAGGCCCGATTTGCCTAATAAGCCAAGTTTTCATGAATTAATTGTTTTTCGACTACCTAACCTACCTAACCTAACCTAACCTAACTTTTTCGGCTACCTAACCTAACCTAACCTATAAAGATAGGTTAGGTTAGGTTAGGTAGGGTTGGTTAGGTTCGGTCATATATCTACGTTAATTTTAACTCCAATAAAAAAAAATTGACCTCATACATAATGAAATGGGTAGCTTTATCATTTCATAAGAAAAAAATTAGAGAAAATATATTAATTCAAGAAAACTTGGCTTATTAGGCAAATCGGGCCTTGCATAATAGGCTGAAAAGTGAGTTCTGGCTACTAGGTACGACATATATATATATATATATACAACAATTGAAAATGAACAATTATTTACGACTATTCAGTCATTTTTAATGTTTTGTCCTGAGGCTTGACACTTCTTTTTTTTTAATAACAATTTTGGCTATGTCTGGCTGAAATGTCTGTGCAGTTCCCACTTTGATCAGAAATGATAAGTGTTAATCAGTCATCCTTGTTCTCTGAGATGTTTTTGTTGATTTCATGAAGGAAAATAACTGTTCACACACATAAGTAGAATCGAACATTGCTATAATAATTGTGGCAAACTTTCTAAAGTTTAAACTTTTCAGGAAAGTATGAAAAGAAACCAGATATCCCCACTTCAAGATACTTTGCTCTGAGTGTAGAATTCGACTGAATTTCTAATAGTTCTATCTGCAGGCTTTCTTTTACCTAGGCAACATCAAAGGTGAGTGGTGCTGAGAATAATGCAAAGTGGTGTTCAAAAGATGATAAATCACGAAATCTTTCCTGAAATTCCTTTGACAACAATTCCCGGTGACTGTCATACTTAGCAAAGCTAAGTACAGACTCAGTATTGACAGTGTTTTTCACCTCTTTGCACTTAGGAAAATGAACTAAATTTTCATTTGACAGTTGTGACTTCCATAAGAATAGTTTTGTAATGAAGTCCTTGATGTCATCATACAACCGAGTGATGAATTTGTTTTTATTTTGTAATTTAAAATTAAGATCAGTTAATTATGCAGTAATGTCCACAGCAAAAGCCAGATCCTGGAGCCAGCTTTAATTTTTCATTTTCAAATCTTGATGATGCGTCCTTCAACTGTTGTTTCAAATCACTTGACATTTCATATATCCGTTCAGCAACAGTGTTCCTGGTTAATGAAATATCCTTGAATAAGTGTGCTTTCTCTGGACACACAATTTGAGCCGTTTTACAAGGCTCTCTTTTTACCTATAAGGTTCTTCAGATCCTTTGGTATCCACTTTGGGTCATTAGTATTCGATCTTTTCAATTTGTATGGTATACTACGTTCCTGTGCTTTGCTTAGAATATTTTTAAATAAGTTATATTTTGAATCCACATTGAAATCCCATTTTACGTCACCTATCGCTGGGTTCACATCTCGCTCCAATACCGGCCCAACCCTCCCCCCCCCCACCCCCACTCCAAAGAATTTCTTAGGCTATTGAAATCAGCTTTTCAAAAATCTGGCACTTTA